ATATGAGTGAATTCATATGATATTTGTCTTTCTCTAATTATGCTTAGCATAATACCCTCAAGTTCCATCCATGTAGTTGCAAAGGGATGAGCTTTTCTTAAGTTGGGTAGATTTAGAGAGACTGAATAAAGATATGATCCCTAGTAGAGAGTTGAAGTTTAAAATGGTAAAGTTGCCTGGATTGAAAGAAAGAGCCTGGAAACGTGTACATTTTTTTGTGGTATTATCTAGATAAACTCTATTGTACGTTGAACCACCTAGGAACAATGTGATAGATTTATTTGGTGTTTGACATGATTTGGCGGATTTGGATGCTTGGAGTTTGGTTGTCAAGTCAGAATCTAAGTAAATTGGCTTAGTTACCAATAGAAGAGCCCCTGGAAATCTAGCTATGAATTTTGCTGTGGTGATCATTTTGTAAATGGCATTTGTTTTAATTACTAACATTCACTTGTTAGATGTCATACACTTTGTACTGTAGCTAATTTGTTTATTATAATTTTAATGATATCTAAACGTTCTGCATTCATTGTTGGAGTAGCAGATCTGCCAGGTGACTTGGGTAGTTATCTCAGTTTTGGCAAGTGCTGAAGGCTAAAGAGGCAGGCAGTATTTAATGGAACTTAACGAGTTGGGTAAAACCAACCCTGAGGGTAAGTCTTCTCGGAGTGGCTGGATCTAATTGTTTAAAAGTCAGTATCACTGTATTTCTTCCCTGTTACAACAGGGTAGAACAGTAAGGAGGCTGCTGAATGTATTGAAGTAGTATATATGGTTAAGATAAAAATAATTTTAGAAATCTAGGAGTCCCCAGGTGCCTCGGTGGCTCAGTTAGTTAAGCATCCGACTCTTGATTTCAGCTCAGGTCATGATCTCACATGTCATGAGTTTGAGCACCGCGTCAGGCTCTGTGCTGACAGCACGGAGCCTGCTTAGGATTCTTTTCTCTCCCTCTCTCTGTGTCCTTCCCATGCTCATCGCGATCTTGTGCTCTGTCTCTCAAATAAATAAATAAACATTAAAAAAGAAATCTAGGAGTCCCAAGTAATTGTCAGGATATGTAATTCTCTGATTTAAAAAAAAGTTACTGTTTTTCTTAGCAAAATGATTAATTCAAAACCCGATTTTTCTGGGAAGAAGATCTCACTATCTTTGTCTTGTGTACAGTGGGAAGAGCAGTAAACTGGAGAGTCGTGACACTAGAGTTTTATTTCCCAGCTCTGCCACTGCCTAATGTGTATTATTTGGGGCACCTTATAAAAAGAAAGGGTGTAGTAATCTCTCGTAGTTTCTATCTGGAATAGTTCTATAGTGTTACTCATTTACTTCTGAAAATAACAGAATATTCACTCCTTCATATACTTGTGCCTTGCATGGCATCCCTGACATCCTTTTTTATCTTTGTCTAGTGTGTTGTTGGTGGCTGCAATGCCAGCTTTGCTTCTCAGGGAGGGCTAGCTCGCCATGTACCCACACACTTCAGTCAGCAGAACTCCTCAAAAGTTTCTAGCCAGCCAAAGGCCAAAGAAGAATCTCCTTCTAAAGCTGGAATGAACAAAAGGAGAAAATTAAAGAACAAAAGACGACGTTCATTACGTAAGTTTTTCACTAAAAATCTGTATGTAGTAGATAGCTTTTGTTTCTATGTTGGGCTTTCATGCAAATTCAGGTTTTACTGTTCTTTAACTCTGTGTATTTTTGTTAACAGTAATAAACAGATGGGATCCCTTGGGTGTTAGTGTGAGAGTTCAGTGATGTATGTTTTGTCTTACCTTTCTAGTTAAGAGAGGGTAAGTATATGTGGCCTTAGAATACAAAGTCTGTAAACAGTTAGAGTTTGAGGGGTCCTTTGATTCTGCTGTAAAACAAGAAAATTTAAAATACGGCAGTGTTGATATTTTAGAAAATTTGAACATGTTAAAGGTAATAATGAAGTAAAAGTAACCAATCTGCTGCAGAGTGGTATGTGTGAATAGCAAAACTATTGGTAGTGTGTGTCTCTGTACTTAAATGTGTTGTAACACATATGTTAATATGTTTAATTACCAGATTATGAAATGTATCCTCAATATTTAGGATATAGTCTAGATGATAAGTTTTATATACGCGGGGAGCAGGAATTGATGTTGAAGCTCCAGAGCCTAGCACTCTGCCTGGTTTGTGGTGTCAGCTGGCTGATTCAGCACATCCTGAATGGAGAGCGAGAATTGACTGAAGCTGTAATTGAAAGGGAGTCCACTGCAAGGGTGAACTAGATAGAAAAAAAATAGATTGTACCTTACCTTTTCTCTTGGGATTTGATTAGAATGTAGAAGAGACTCCAGACACTAATCCAGACTAGAAGGCTTGTCTCTAAAATGTTCAATTTTTTTTTGTTACTACAAAGCTACAGTGGACAAATGAACAAACCATGGGTGACAAACTTTTCTAAGCTCTCTTTTAAGTTTCTTATTTTTGAAATAAATGTTTATTTTTCAAAGTTGGCTATTGAATTTAGGTTATGGATCCATTTTCCTTTTGACTTCCTTTTAGAAAAACAGA